GTAGTTAGCCCAATGTACATATGAACACTCTGGTTTTAAATAACTCCAAAGGTAATAATCATGTTAGATTTAAAATGTAACTAGACATTCTGATTCTATGCATTTACTAGAAATCAACTGATCTAAACGATTTTCAAAGCCGTGCATCAGATAGGACTTCTAATTTCCAAGGATACCTGGGGCAATGATTCTTGCGAATGATTACGGGACATTTATACTTCCAGACGCCAGATAAATAACAAACCTACGTCAAGATATGCCATCTTTATTTTTGAAAGAATAATTGTAACATGAAAAAGGCTGGAACTTCAAGTGATGCTTCAATGAGATTTCTTTTATTACTTTACAATTCTAATTTCATGCGTTTTATTACCTTTTTGGTTGTTAGGTTTTTAAGTGCATTCTTTAATTTCCAATTCACACCTTAACTGTGATTGAAATTAACGATGCTGTTAATTTTGTTTCGAGACAATAAATTTTGAATTGCTTCAAAAATTGCATTAACACATCTTCAGTACTTGAAAGAATTTTTAAAACATTTTCTATGTTATTTTATCTTTTGTAAATATTGTAAATAAATTCAGTTATAAGCTTTATAATTTTACTTCAATATTGACGAAGACTCACTGACGATGAGTACGAAGTCCCTCCAATACAGCGGATAAAACAGTACGAGCAGTTTCATCTGTTTTTTTACGAGCTTCAATATGAAGGTAGAAAGATTGGAAAAATGAAATGCATATTTTATAAATCTGAAAACAGTATATCTGAGTAAATACCTTTCAACGGTAATGTACGCTGCGAGCAATGTACTTCATTGAACTTTCATTACACACTGAGGAAATATCTCTACAATCTGTTTTCCATTTAACATTATTGATATTTTTCGTAAACAACGTGTGTTTTTATTCTCATTGAGCTTTCAACGGAATTCTGTATTTGATTAATTCAGTTTAATGAGAAATACATATATTGAAAGCATCTGGGTACATTTGTTTCATATTTTCTGGTATGAAAATTCAGTACTGACAATAATTGAATTTTACTGCCAAATATAATAAAAATTAATGAATTAGAATTTGTATGATTTCAACATTTGTTCAATTTGGTATTTTATAATAAAATTGGAAAAATCTATCTTTTGAAGTATTCATTTTAAAATATTAAAAAATGAGGGTTATTCTAAATATTCTGATTAATATTCTAATTAATAACTGATCATAAAAGATCAGTAAAAATTAACAGAAATGTTGAAACAACCTGTACACATGCGTCTGTTAAAGTACCTCACGATGCTTCCTCCTGTTCTTCCTTCTCTCCGGTATCCCCTCAGTTCCTCCTCTTCCACCGCATCTTCGTCACCTTCTTCAAGTTAGACTCTTCGTTTCTGGAGTAGCAGCACCGCGAGCAGGAGCATCCTAGTTAAATAACAAGCAGCTAGATTCACCTGACATACTCGACCGTCTCATTTTCTTTGTCAATGCTCACGGTCGCTTGCCAGTTTTCCCGATAACGGCGTTCGTGGCGTCTTCGATAGGCACCGGACCCAATAATTAGGAGGAATATCGCGTCTGGCTATTCCGCAATGAAACGTTTGCTTTGAATGTAACACCTACGGCAACGTGCCTGTTACAACGTCTCAAATCGGCGCCGAAGATCTTTCTTCTTCCTTTTCTATTTTTTATTTCACTATGTACAAGGTGTCTTGATGATATGGTGAATTTGATTTAAACTCTGGAGCAATTTGTTCAGCATGCTTCTTGTGAAAGACATGTATACTATTGATAGAAAGTTTGAAAATATGTTCATATTTTGATCTGACAAATTATTTAATAATTAAAAGTGTACTTGATTTAATTTTCTAGATCTAGAATTAATAATTATAATAATTACACTTGCAAAAATTTTTCATAAAGAAGTAATACTAACAGTGAGCTATGTTTAAACAAATTAAGTGCATCTAGAAAATTTCAATGAAAGAAAAGATTATTCTATAATTTTGCTTCTTCCAAAAAATTTATCGTATAATTTATTCTATATAACTCTAATATTTTTGTCTGCTATGAACATACAACAAGGATCCACATTTCGCCCCTATAATTACAACAATAATGCCTTTATTAAAATTCCGTTATGATAATCCAATTGGGACGTCTCAATTTCGGTACACGCAGCACGATTAATGGGATTAATTAAACTGCTCTCTATTTACCGATAATTTATTACCTTTAGCCTCCCTTGTTTTTTCGATCATACGTGATCGAAGGTGTGAAACACGGATCTTCAACCGATATCGAATCGACGAGAACATGGGGTTAAAAAAGAAAGCAGAAGAATAGAATAGAAGAGGAAACAGCTTTTTCCGTGTTCGCGACGTTGCAGACGCGAAAATGTATAGGTTGACTAGGCACCGGCTAAAGGAGAGCCGAAGAAGTCGAGTAGTAGAATAGTTGGGTCACACCCAAGTATTCTTCGATAAAAGCCCCCAAGTACCTTTATGCTTGTGACTCACACCCTATAACAGAGACCATGTTCCTTTTTTGTCGTACATATAGTTCCCTTGTATCGATACGACAAGGTGGTTTTCATGATACAACGATTTTCAATGCAAATTATTAAGGGAACCCTCGGTATCACATATAGATGGGATTTTATATTATTTTTGGATGAATTGGTACCAGCTGGTATTATTCAGTGAGGTGCACTATTTATAAATATACTTCATATGAATTAGAATAAATGGAGGATGCAATTATGACTTCTAAATTGTTTTCAATATTAAATTTTTAAAATGTTTTAAATTCTGACATGCTAACATTAAATTTGAAGGGTTAATAAAAAAAGAAACTTATTATAAAACGATGAAAGATTCCACCTTGAATCCATCAAAGATACCTATTATCAAATGTTGTAAATGTGTCATGTACGATGAAAGGTGTTATATACGATGTTGCGAATCATAGTTAAATGTAAAAAACGCTTAATTACCGTGTTATTGGTACTTCTCCTTTTATCTTATATACACCGGCCCAAGATAGATCGGCGTTAACAAGATTCGTTGAACTTTGCTCCGTGCATGATGGATTGATTAATGATCCATAGGATGTAGCAGGTAATTTAAATTTTAATTCAATCATCTGTCATTTTTTGTTGGATCCTAACTTTGAAACCTTGTACTTGAGGGTGATTTAATTATAGACATAAATTGGAGATTACCCCTCGGACCATGGAGAGATCCTCGATTTTAATTCAATTTACCATTTCATATGATTTTCATTTGCTACATTTTGCAATTATTTTTGGAAGTACAATAAATTGAAAAATTTTTGAAATAATATTCATGGGGAAGAAATGAAAGATCGATATCTTGTATCTTACCGGTAAGACCGCGATCCCAATGTTTCACGATGCTGCTGAGTCACGTGTATCGGGGTCTTTTTGCAACGTCGTCGACCGGTACGATTCTCTCGGTGTTCTCATCAAGTATCGAGCGTGCCACGACAAGCTTCGCCAATCAAAACGAAAACATCGGCCGGGTGGATGTGTAATTATGGTAGGACGTTAGGCGGCGGAATTCCGCTTCGCGGAAACACACGCCGCCGTGCTGTACTAACGAAGGTGGCAGTGAAAAACGATGAGAACGCTGCATAGAACCGTCGCCTCGGTCTCCGCTACGGCTATTCTAGTACATAAGTGTAAAGTTTGCTTAGAGCGACTCTTATATACCCTGTCCTCTGTCCTATCTATATGAGAGATGTTTTCTACGAAAGCAACTGGTCAATGCTTTCCAGGTAACAACATCCTGATTTGCTTATATCGATACACTTCTTGTGTTACTATCAGATTTCTTTTATTATTGTGGAGTGTAATTTAGTAAGTAAAAGTATTGTGAAATTGTAATTTTGGCACATCAATTTAAAGCTAAAAGTTTAATAAAAATTTCTATAAAAAGGATTCGTGATAATTCATCAATTATATCAAATAATGAACCAGAGTGAAATTCATATTCTGTTCAGACTTTTAAATTTGGCTTGTTTGAAATTAAAATTGCAATTTCTTTTTTTATGAATGTTATATTGAATTTTTAGTGTAACAGAATATTAAAAAGTTGTTAAAAAAAGCAACTCGCGACAGTAACAATTCAGATATCCACTCGTTAACGTTCTCGACAAATGATCGAAAAAGGCAATCGATGGAATGTAACTAGAAAAATTTACACGTACCGTTTCATCCACGTAGAATGCGCGCCAGGATGAAAAGGAACAAAAGGAATTTTTCCAGTTCCAGTTCACACGTTATCGTACCATTCGCACACAACGTACTTCACATAGAAATTCACTTGCTTCTTGACACTTTGTTGGCGATTCAATGGTACAAAAACGTCCGCGAGTTTCTTGTACATTTGTTTGCTTATATCGCTACAAACCAGTTGGCTGAGAAAAAGAAACTATTGTTGCATAATCGGCAACATTTCCAAGTTGAATAGAAGTTCAATAAAAAGGTTTGAAAAGTGTTAAGTATGAAGGAACTGAATTTAGTTTATTTCATCGTAAGTGATGAGTTTTCAATTAATTCCAGAATAATTTGATTACCTATTGATTAGATAATGCAGGGTTGTTTTCATTAACAATATTCTGAATATATACTATAACAAAGGAACATCCAAAAGAAATTTTTAATAGAAAATGAAATTGTTTTTGTACAATGTACAATGGCAAATTTATTTTAATATTGGGAAGAACATTTCAAAATTAATATTTGATGTAAATACTGAAAGTAATTAAATTTATTAATCTTCAAAGGGAAATGAATATTTAGTATTAATAACTGGAAATATTATAAAATTTCATTTTTGCCCAACGAAATTAAATTTATTATTTGCAAAAATGAGAAGGACCTCAGTACAGATATTTAATTAATTTTGAAGCACAGAATAATGAATGCTAATTCCCTAAAATCATACCATAATTGCATATCAAATAAAAGAATTCGTTTCTGTATTTTTTTTTCGTTTCAATTAATCTTGGATGGAGATGAATTTAATAAAACGGTGTAGGATTAATAAGCATTGTTTCATGAAAAGTGAATGAAACCGATTCCATCCGTATGCAATCCCCGTGTTTTTCTCACGTAATCAAAGTCACGCATTCGTGGGAACGATAATAGAATAAATTCGCTGGAACAATGTCTCGGAATTACGTTAATTGATTCATTCGATCCTATCCTGCGAACCCGGCAACTTAATTTCCCTGTTGTTCTCTCAGAAATCCTTTAAAAACGATCCAGTCACGAACAATCATAGCTGTTCCTTGTCCAAAGATTTGTTTATCTTCAACTGATAAAAATCTGCATTTAATCATAGGTTTCTAAGAATCATTGCTTATCAGTAAACTGATTTAGAACTCATCAAATTTAATTAGGTAAATTTCGAATAAACTTAAGACTCCAATACTTAGAATTTTATTTCTATTTTAAAATTTTGAGGATATTTTTATATTTAAGTATTCTAAAATTTTCTGAATTGGAAAAACGAGGCAATAAAAAATGACCCATTGGAAATAAAAATTTGTCTATTCAAATCTACTGATTGTCCATGATTGTGCAAGGAACGAATCATTAATCAAGACATGAAAGAACACCTCGATTCCTCTTTCCTGCACACGACGTGTTTTCAGTGGCAGAATTCTCACTTACTTGCATTAAAAAGCAGGCGAACGCATTGTGGTTGTAAAACCAGGGTCTCTAGTTGTTTCCAGGAAGGTTACCAGCTTCTTCTTGGCCGTTTTTACCGGCTTTAATTGAACGTTCGTACAACTCGGAGGATCCCTCTATTCTTCTTTCGTGGTACTCCCCTTTCTGTTTCGAACCCTGCCGCCCTCGATGCCGGCTGTACGAAACAGTTTATGCCTTTATTGCGAGGATGCATCTGGTACTGCTCGTCGTAAAAAGAGGATATCGGTTGTATTTCGTGAATCTTGGTCTGTCTTCTTCCTAGAAACGATGAATAGCGAGTAGATTCGAAGGGAACGGTGTTTCTTGAAAGTGAAACATAGAAATCAAACGCTTGAGATAGTTTGTTGTAAAGGAGACAATGGGCGTTGAAAGTGTAACAGATTGTTGATATATTGTCATGAGTAGAATCCCAGCATCCGCGTCAACCATTAAATTCAAAATGTGTACAATTTATACACGGATTATTATTTTCTTTACATAGTTGAAATGTGACCATTAGGTATCGCAAATGCAGTTACAAGATGCAAGTAGGAATAGAAAATCTGATAAATTTGCCGCGGAGTTAGAGTCATATTTCGACGTCATCGTTCAAGAAATATAATCCTCGTATGGAACAAACCTATCGAGCTTTGAATCTGAACGTTTCGTATGTCCATCTTAATTAAATCTACCGAGTACCTGGATCTATCAAATAAAGTCATTTGAAAATTGTTTATTTTTTTGTTTAAATGACGTTAATAAATTGCTATTGCTGGATCAATCGAACAGAATCACATGATACCTTCCTTGATGATTTCTTTGATGACTTTCTCATAGCACTAAAATTCACATATGATGTTTGAATATTCATTTGATTATTATGAGATATTTTTATACAATTTGGGTACAAACTATTTCTAAGCATTATTCTTTTACATGTCATGTGACACGCGGATGAATGACACTTGTATTTCCTAGGTGACTTTATTTGGATTTGTGTGACAGATTTCCACAGGGAACATGTCAAAACCTGGACATTTTTCTTTTATTTTACAGTGGATACTGAATTGACATTCAGTTAATTTTTCGTGAGATTCAATTAAAAATACTTTAATCTATTAAGGATCAGATTTTTATTCAGCTTTAATTTGAAAGTTGGCTAATTAAATTATTCTTGAGATTTATTCAAAAATTGAGAATTTGTAGCTAAACCTTTCTTTTCAATTTTTTAATTTTTAGCAATGGGACATGTATCTAGAAATATTTAAAAGATATTGTGAAAGAAAATTCTGAAGCATTTTCTACTTTCTCCTCATTCTATTAAAAGGTAGACACGTCATATAATTTTTATAAAAATGTGACCGAGGATATCCACACTTTACCTCGTTTTACGAGACCCATTTTCCACGCTCTGCAGTGCCAAATAGCATTTTTACAGAATTCATCTAATACAAAAAAAAAAGGAAAGAAATATAAAATCCACTGTTTGTTATAACCGTTTTTGAAAGAACATTTCTCTAAACAAAATAGTGACCGTTTAAACATAGAGTATCTATTGATTGTTATTGCGCAAAATAACACTCTTTTTCGGATCAAAAAAATATGCATCGCAAAAAGCCATACGCGAAGGAGTATTTGTTTGCGTGCAGAACAAACGTGCAAATTTTCATGAGAATCGGTTCGCCCGGTTTCCAGATGTTTTTCGCAGTTGTTTTAAAAATATGGTTTTGAGGAAAACGCGTTTTCTTTTAAAAATTAAATTTCAAACTTTAAATATAAAATATCTTGATTTTCAATTTGAACAATTCGATATACAAACGTACAATATCATTTTGCAACAGAGATAATCATAATAAAAGGGTTAAATGGTAACAAAAGACACTCTAGATATCTCATCTAAAATCAGTTCATGAAATTATCTCAATGAGGCCAAAGAAAGTGGACTTTCGTCCATAACATGAGTGGAGTACGATTGCAATTTCCTTATAATCAAGCATTACGATACAATTTTCAGAGCGAGTATACGCTCTCCATAAGGGCGGAAGTCAAGGAACGTGTTAAGTGTCGCGAGAAGGTAGAATCGTGCACTCGAATCTCTATCCGGCGTAAGACGATTGAGAAAGAGGATCCAGCGGATCGTTTAATGTTCCTGTAAGAAACGGGGGACTCGCCTCTGCACTTTCGAGCAACTTCTCGAGACGTTAGATTATGGTATATACCTCGGGTTCGCTTTCCTCCTCTTTCCTTCTTGTTCGTTCCTCAGCAACGGAAGCGGAAAAACTTCTATCTCGGCGGGCTATAACGTAGGTGTGCACCCTCTACCTGTGTTTCCTTCGCGTTGGAACCCTTCTGGCTAAACTTCTGGACCATTAATTTACATTAGGACATTTTTCAAGAGCCACCGACGCCCGTGTACCTTAAAATTGGCCAACTCTTTCTTTTTCACGGCATCCTACCGCCATTTCACGAAAGGAAGAGCCCTCCAAGTTGTTCCTACTATCCCCCTCTCGTCGATGTTACGCTTGAATTCTTTACCATTAAGTGGCGAAGGCGAAAGGACAGGCCATGTGTCGGATAACTTTATTAGCTCCAATGCGTCTTGTTCTTTTATCGTTCGAAAGCGTCGATGCCACTTTTACTGCCTCTCACATTTTTATCGGAATTTTACACCGGTAATGAATCTTTTTGCGTCGTGTAATTAATGGACCAGATTAACTTGTAAGAGGTGAAATGAGGATCGTTATATTTACACCAGGAAGACTAATCTAATAACACTGATGTTCGAAAGTGCTAGGAGATTTGTAATGTAAATTATTTAAAAAATAAGAATTTTTTTTATTTCTTTGCTTTTCATCTTAATCTACTTTGAATGATGATGACCATTCAATGTTTTCTCCAACGTTTCAATGCTTGATGGAGTCTTTTATGAAGGGTAGTAATTTAATACATTATTTGTTTAACATATTCATGAGGTACTTCATAGTTGATTTAAAGATTATTTGCAAATTTAAGAAAAATATAATTGTATGGTTATACATACCCTAATTATGAGATTAATTAATTAGGAAATGGTCCTAAATATTCTAAATATTCCCATAATTTATATAATAAATTATTTTAATTATTATGTGTTATAATTGAATGGTGTAATATTTCTAGCTATAAAGTTACACTTTAATGACGAAATTAATTAATTAGAGGATTCTCAAAATTGAAAATGTCACTATGTCAATGCTGGTATATTCCCAATTGTAATATGTTCAAATCAAAATATTGGATGCTGATTGTGTATAGATTATCATTCAGAGTACGAATGAATAGGAATATTGACAGTCGATATTAAATCGAGTTCGTTCATTTGATAGAAGCTATGCAACTACGTAATCGAGGCTGTTGCGGGTATTAGCAATCGAAACATTCAACCCCCGCTCGTGACGTACATAATAATTTTCTATACTTATCACGATAACACGACGAGCCCATACGTGTTCCCGTTATTTAAATTATCCCTGTGTTCTATCGAAATTCTGCTATACGGTGATTGCGAGTGGATTTGCCTTGATAAATTTCGAACGGGCCAGTTAATATCTATAAACCCTGGTAAAGTTGACTGTTCTATCATTATTATCCTTTGTTCTAATTCGAAATGAAATTGGTATTCTAAATATTTCAATGTTTCCTAGTGTACTGTTAATATTTTTATTGAATCAGGTTTACCTAATGGTAAAAGTACACAGACATCTGATAATGGTGTACTCTATGCAATTTTAATTGATTACGGACAGGAAAAGAAATAATTGGCTCGTTTAATATAATTGAAAAAGCAAATAAGAGAATGGGAATAATGAATGGATCGATTTGAAAATTGTATAACAAATGTATGCGCATATGTAACATTAATGAAAGCAAAGTTTTTCTTTGTGTAATACGTGAATAGCGTTCAACAATTGATTTGAATATAAATTATGAATTATCACTGTTACTGTTGCTAATAAGAAACGTTTAATATTTATTAATACATTCATTTTATATTCAATTCTTAAGTTGCTTCCATTTACCGTTGTCAGAGATCTTATAATGAAAGATCAGTTTCTTCTGAATCCATCATACATTGCTATGTGAAAAGTAATCTTAACAGTACTTTTAGTTTCTCTACCTGCATATGCCAAGAAACTAATTACCAAAATAAAGGACAGAGAGAGGAAAAAAGTTTGAGTGACTGAAATTTTGATGAAATCAAATTCAAATATTATATTTCATAAATGTAGCAGTTATGAAATATTCTACATCTGTTTTAAAATCGTTATTAAATCCGTTTCAGTTTTATTCAAAAGAGAGCATATAGTAATTTAAATAAAAATAATAAAAATTACATTTTGCAGCATGTGAAATATTAAAGTTTTACATTTTCAGTTGATTTTTGTATCAAATTGCAAAAAGGGAATGCTTTGATGTAGACATCAAATAATGATCAACTTTCTAGTATATATGTAGTGTGTTTTAATTTTTCCATGGTCATAATTTGAATTATTTTCTTAATTTTTGAATTATTAATCAATAAAGCCTTTTTTAGGTTTAGGAATTTTTTCATGGTTCTATGGTCGCGACAATCTGCTTGCCAATAGAATTCAAGCACCGTCCACGACCGACCCCCTTTTTAATACGTCACGTGCATTACAAACGATCCTATTATCACGCAGAACGCGTCGTTAAACGTTCTAAAACGGCAATTCCCGTTTCTGTTTCAGCACACTCTAACGGGCCACTGCGGGAAGGTGATGGCGGCGAAGTTTCTTGGCGAACCTTCAAAAGTAGTTACCGGTAGTTACGATCGTACCCTAAAAATTTGGGACCTGCGTAGCAAAGCGTGTAAGTAAACCGTGCCAAACAAACAAACCTAAACTTTTACTTAAATTAACCATTATTTATCGTATAATTAACCATAGGTAATTAGTACTGTAATTGGCAAATTTTTAAGTAATGAAAATCTGAAATGATTATTAGGGTCATTAATGATCTATAAATTACACCACGAGTCAATAATCGTATGCACCCTGACCGTAATTAATAATTATAAAAAATACCGCAATATTTTCCTTAATTAATTTGAAAAATTCACGTCGTGAAATCCCATCGTCATCAGTCGACAGAGCTCATCAAGCCGATAAGCTTTTTATCGCCAGCTGGATGAATCTTTTTCGAAGTTACTTTGAACCCTGCAGTTTTCTTGTCGAAGAATCGATCTTTTGTTCTTGGCCATTGATGACTCTAACGAACGACGTTTTTCCTTAAAACGGGAGACTCGATAAGAAATTGGTAAATTCACGCGGGAGTACTTTTAGTCCGGAGCCAGATGGGAAGAAAGATTAAGGCAAACTTCCGGGAGAAGTTTCATTTAGATCAGCTTGAAACGAGGCAAGCTTAATTCGATTAATCCTTTCGCTACTTCATCGGTAAAATTCTGCAAAGTTTTTTAAATGAATTATTTTGGCAAACGAATCAACGGCTCGACGGGAATATTTTGTTGCAAAATTTTCATTAGCCACCTGAACTCTTAATGACAATTCTAATTTGGACAATTGGCTTGCCTTAATTGTTCAAAAAAACATTAATTAGACAGTTCAAATAAAATTATTATGCACTTTAGAAAAATATTAAATTTTTATTTCAATTTTATTTGACTAGTATTTAATTTTAAAATGGTGTTAAATTTCGATACAGCGAAAGCTGCTCCTGATCGCAAACCTAGTGTCTGTAAATCGGTTTTCGAAATCAAATACTGAAAGGATTACAAAGATACTGGCCGCTGGAATGAATAATCCTCC